TTTTTACATCAATACTGGGGGTTTGGTAAAATTACGAGGTCACGTAGCAGCTGGACCCACCGGTGGGTCCGTAGGGTTCAAGGGGTTAGTATGGATGGATTGAATGAAACAGGCAGCAAAAACTCAAAGAATTATTAATAAAAAGATTTTTGTATTTTTTTTTCCCGTCTTCTTCTAGATTATATATACATCACCATATATCACTCTCCTTATCATTTACTCAAAACTGTATTGGACTTAATATTTTCTCCTTATAAACTCATTGTAATTCATTTACTGTAGAGCATCTTTTTTAACTCCTCATCAATTTTTTTTACATAATCTTAGTCCATACTTTACTTTTCAAGTCATACTTTCCCTTCACTTGAGTTCAAAACAAAGAATTTAGTGTAAATTAATTGCTAATAGTTTCTTAATAGCTCAAGACATAACTAATAAAACTTATTAATTAATGAACTAATTTTATGTTATTTGATTCAATAAGCAGTTTATTTGTATGTTTTCAATCATTGAGAGTGTATACAAGTCTATTTTTGCAACAAACTGGGTTTTGTACATTGTACATTCTATATATGTTGCCCCATACCTCAATAAGTCAATGTTGACAGTTCTAAAAAGTTTTTTTTAATCATAATTCTAATACTTACAAAGTTTTTAGCTTTAAATATTTCAAATGTGAATACCAATTAAGTTTGTAATTCAGAAAACCCCCAAAATTGTAACTTTTTGTTGTTACTAAATTTCCATCTTTAGTCGTTGTAGTGGAATAATTCGTTTCATTCCAGTTATCAGTAACCTGGCAACAAAGATTGCTTCTAAATAAATCCACAATTAAGATCGTTTTCAAAGTAAGCGACACCTAGTATTATCGAATCTAAATAGGCAAAAGGATAAGATAGTACCCACCAGCTGCCTGTGCAGTGCCTGCATTTTATGTTATTGTTTTTTTATATAATTGCAGATAAAGCAATGAAATGTCTTCTTAATAATCAAATGATGTTAATAAATATCAAGCAAAGAATAGAATATTGAATAAGTAAATTGAGAAGATGTAAAGCAGATACTCAAATGTTACTTTTTCTTATCTTCAAATGAATACACTAATATTGTAATGTGCTGCCCTCTTGTGGTGACCAGTGATTTTGAATCGGTTTCCTATCTTCATTAGTTGACCTGATGATAGTGAGGCTTTTGCAAACATCAGAGGTTGATTCAGGGGTTTATGGCATAGGGAAAAAACTGCTGAAAGGATTCAGGAAATAAACCTTATTACTACCCCGCTCAGATGTTTAATGTTTTTATTTGAAACAGTGAGAGTAGAAGACTGGAAATACCCAAAAGTTGGAATATTTACCAGTGGTATTGATAACAGATGATATATTGAGAAAAGAGTCAGAAAATTTCTAAAACTGCAGATCTTGTAAGGTGTTCCTGCAGTAAACCAGCCTGTGACAATTGAAGGTGGTCCAACAAAGAAACATCAGTGAATCAGCAACAGAATCAAAGCAATGATGCACCGAAGTCAATCCTGACAAACAGTAAGTTTTGTCCATTTAGAGCTGCAAAGGCAGTGATCCATCAGAGACTCACACCTTCTACCCTCTGAAACCAACAGGAATGGAAGCATGGGCATCAGAACTGGACCACAGAGTAAATAAAGATGGTTGTCTGTTCATTTTGCGGATAGGAGACACCTAATACCAGGAGGCATTGCGAGAACAAAGCACTCATTTAAGGCAGGGGCCAGTGTGATGATTGAACAAGGATCTTCTGGAAAACCTTGGGTCCTGTTTGTACCCAAATCATCAAGGCTTTGGAGCATGAGGGTTCTTCGAAGTAGCTTAGCTCTCCCTAGAACTGTGCATTTCTGGACTGACACCTCTGATGTTTCTCCAGGTACTGTATGTATTGAAGGCACTTTTCCAGTGTAGGGGTTATTGTCCTCATTCCCCTTTTGACCACAGGCACTACAGTTGCCTTCACCTTTTCAGGCTCCCTCAAGTTCTTCCTTGAGGCTTTGGTATTTCTGCAATTTTTCATGTTGTTTATTCTGGATATTTCCATCATTTCGGATGGCCATGACAATCACTACGGCCGTCCTCTACTGCCTGCAGTGATCACATTGTCTGCTTGGTTTGCCATAACTATTTTGTCTTAGCATTTAGCTCCTATGCATAAGTGCTGAAAGCCTGAGTTCTTTTAAGTCAAAGTTAAAACCCCATTTGTTGAAAAAATAAACTGTTAACTAGTTTAAGGTTGTGGTCCAAATGTTTTATTAGTTTTACTTATGCTTTTTTATCTTTATTAGCACCTATTTTGCTTTTATTTTTTATTCTATTTTAATATCTAATTCATATAAAGCACTTTGAATTGTCCATGTGCTGAATTGGGTTATATAAATCAACTTGCGTTGCCTTGTTTCTATCTTGAAGTCCCACAGGACCTCAGCTCTGTCATTCTCCACCAATATGGGAGGTGGCTCCTATTTTGACCTTGGGGTCTCCAGTTTGTATTTTGTAAATCTGCCATTCAGTTATGACGTTCCATGTATTCCTTTCCTGCCAGTATCATACACCATACTATGAGATGGTGGATTTATTGTATCTGGGGCCATAGCGTTGGATTTTGACTGCTATATATAAATATACTTGGCCACCAACTATTCCTAGCTGCATGAAACATTCACTCATGTGTCATACAGACAATTAACATAATCTGCACCAATTTTTTAGAAAAGTTTATGATAAATTTGTGCTTTAATGTCC